TGTAATCTTAGACTCCTGTGAGACTTCATTTGTCTTTGGAAAATGAGTGTTTTCAAAATCTGGACAGATTGCTTGGTCTCAGAGAGCTATGTGCTTGAAGAATCTGACCCATAAATTATTGTTTCTGGCTAGAAATTGTGCTGTAAGTACAAAGCAAGTACACATGCACATTTGTAATGCAATGCATGTTATGATCAAGCTGTGGTTTTATTTACCCTTCAAGCAGATTGTTACCAAGAGGACGATTTTTTTTCTTGTATCAGTGCATTACATCCCGTTAGGCTCATAGTTATTCATCAGTATCAACAACAAGCGACACCTCTGGGTGACTCTCAGCACCGGGGCGATGGTGAATCAGCCTTCCGCTCACATAACCAGTTACATCTTTTACAAGGGAACTGTTGGAGATGGGATTGTGACTAATGAACTGAAATCCTGACAAGCTGTTACATACACAGGCTCTCTGTTAAACACATGGCAACGTAAAATTATAGAAACTTTGAAGCAGCTATTATGAAGTGGAAATGGATTTCTTTTTCTGGCGTCACTTTTTGTGCTGGATACTGAAAGTGTGTTATGCGGACGACATAGAAGGGTTATGAAAGGGTATAGCAAAAGAAAAGTTCAGTGAAAAGATGCAGCATGACTCACTCACTCCCGAGAGGCTAATTGGGGAAAGCAATGAATAATACAGTAATTTTATTAGATTTCTACTTCTTTTCATATTTAAAATAAAATTCTACTTAAAGGTACAATATGTAAGAATGAAGTAAGAATGAGATCCTGTGGTCAAATTTGTGCACTGCAGTCCACTTTTCTAAACAAGAAGTTACTAAGAACCAAATCTGTTTCAATATAACCTTCCGTCCAACATGCTTGACAGATTAGACTATTTTGTTTGTTTGTTTTGTGATAATTTCATTGTAAAATTCAAGCATATTGCTACTTTAAGCTTCTGCAGATTGTTGGAAGAAACGCATCCACTTGGTACTAAGTGTGACTGTCTGTTGCAATTGTTTTTTAACCAGTAAGAGTAATTTACATAAATCCTACCAGTCTGTGAAAGAAACAAATGTTTATGACTCAGTCAGGGAAAACGATTAGCTGTTACATCCTGGCTATGCTCCACTAATTCAAACAGAGCAGGAAGTGCTTTGCATGTCAGTCAGCCAATCAGCAGCTTTCATCAGGTTCATGGGTTTGATGACACACAGCTCTTCCAGGGTGCTTGCTGGTGGAGGGACCAGGAACTGCTGCTGAATCACCCTTGGGCTGAAGGCTGAAGGGCATGGATGAGGGCGGGGCTTTACATGCAGACTAGAAAGAAAACATCAATAGCTGTCATTTTAATCTAGCAAAGGCTGGTTGAACTGTGAGGCATTAAGAAGCAGGAGAAAAAGAAGGCATGACATGATGGGATACCAGTCCTAGATATGAAGTGGCAGGGCTCTATCCAGTACAAAAACATTGTAGAGTCATAATAATGTTGTGTTTGGGGTGCAGTAGGGAGTACCCAAAGTGCACACTCTGAGGCAGGAAGTGACTGAGACTGAAACATATGTTTAAAGAAAACTGCTGTCAAGGCGTCTAAATAAAACGGCAGAAGGGGGGCGCACAGGGAGCAGGCAGCAGGAACAAACAGTGAGCAGGATTTGATGATGAGTCAGAGGAAACTAGGGATATAAATCCTAGGTATAGGGCGATGACATGATTCAGCAGATTAAGAGGCAGGTGAGAGGAGAGCTGAAACAAAGACAAGTAAGGCTAGGACACGGAGACACAATGTAAGTAGTCACTAATGCAAAATTAACTACAGATAAAATGAAAGAGAAAAGGAAAAATGGAAAGAAAATCAAGAAACCAAGATATTTTTTATTGAAACCACAAAATATTGGTGTCTTATTTAGACATGAGTAAGAAAAAGCTAATCAGAGTCTGATTTTTTCCCCCAGTCCTCTCACAGCATGTTTCCTGCTGTTTACTAGTCAAATTGAACAAAGAAGGCAGTTTTCAAGTCAAATTACAGAAGAAGAGCCAGAAACTGTGTTTGAAAGAAATGATCATCTTGAGTCAGAGCAGGGTCAAAGTGGTTAAGTAAGCATTTTGGCAAATCATCTTTGATGTTTTCTGTTTTTTTTCTCATCTGCTACGCAAAATAACAACCGTGACCTCAATGTCGAGACCCCGACTAAGCTTTGAACTTTGCTTAGCATTAAAACATTTTTTCTACAAAGCAAATCCTCAGCATTTTATTTTTGCAGGAGGTGAAGATATTAAAGGAGTCAGCAGTTTGGCCCTATCTATAAGGCTTAGCGAGCTGTTGCAGTTGTTTTCAGACAGGGACTTAACTGAGTTTCACGACCTCAGAGGGCTTGTTTGGTTGGCCATTAGAGACGTTGCACGCCCTCAGGGACGAAGACACCTTTACACATGTCATATCTGCTGTATTAATGAGTCCAAATCCTGCTGTTTTCACTTTCTAATATCACTGTCATTGCCGTGGGACAGATGCTGTAGGGAACAAAAAATGTTAGAGAGATCTGGAACGCATCTGGAAAACCTCAGGGTTGTGATCCTACTTCATACTGCTGATTAATTAACCAGTTTTACTGGTTTCTGCATCTGAGTCCTGATGGGAAGTTGCTCTTAATGAGATCTGTCATGGTGAAAGGGCATTTTTGTAAAATAAATACATTTTTAAAAAGTTTAAAGGCCAGAAGGTGACAGTTAAAGTCTCTTTCTGGAGCATGTATCTTATCAGTGGCACCATCTAGTGGCTGACAAGCATATCACACAAATAGTCAGTCGATCTGTTTTTTTAAGATGGCAACTTCACGTTTCTGTTTATAAATGTGCTTCTGTAGCTGACAAACTGCTAAAAGACATTGTTTTACGAGTATAATTCTCATGTCATGTTGTGTTATCATATATTCATATTTCAAACACTTACTTGTCCGTGAAACGTTCATCAACTCTGTATCAGCCAAGGTGTTCCTTAAATTTGAAGCACGTACGCTTTTGGTTAGTTCTGGTCGGCACTCAGTTTCCTATTGCACAGTGCTCTGCAGGGCAGGGGGCGTGCTTAGCAAAAAAAATAAATAAAAATAAAAACGCGTTTTTTGCTTACAAGATATGATAAAACAATCACGTTTACAGATTTCTGAAAAATCATAAATAATTTCTGAAAGAGGGAAAATCCTGAAAGATACTTTAAATAGATCAGAAATATTCAAGGATGAAAGAAAATGCTTGTAATAAATGAGAAAGACTGCTGAATTATTCTGCAATGTGTAATTGTGATTAAGTCCAAACTGAGTTATGCTTTAGACCAGGGGTCTGCAATCTTTACAATCCGTAAAGACAATCGCCCTCTTAATCCACTTAAATAAAACGTGTTTAGAGCCATAACTGTTGCAGAACATTTTGTTAAAAGGCAGTTTATATTTTTTGAGTAAAACCTAGAGAGAGAAAAACTAGAAGATGAAGGCCACTGCTTTTCTGGGAAGAGTCAGAATTCTGAGATTTATATCAGGATTCTGATTTATAGTCACACTAATACATCTTTTTTATTCTACCCCTTCCTGTCTACTAAATGATATTTGTTGATGTCTCTATTAATAGGTTTTTAAATTAAGAAAACAAAAAAATCATTTTTCTCAGATGGATGTTAAATGTGAGGAAAATGATGTAGAAAATGAATGGATCTAAAATTTTTATTGTATTTTTAGTGCGATTCTGAGGTGAAAATTCACTGCAAATTTTCCATGAAAAGACTAAAAACAGCTGAAACCAGCATATTTATTTAAAAAAAATTTTTTTTTTTTGTTATATCTAGACTTGAAAATATGAGTTGATTGAGTGTGTGTGAGACAGATAGACCCTGAACACTGGCTGAAGGAAAAGCACACCTGGAATAACAAAAACTAACCAATAAAGACTAAATATTGGTCAGGATAGATTTATTCTAATTTCCTGATAAGATTATTCCTACATTGTCATCAGCACATATCAAACTAGGAAAGGTCCCTTTTGGTTAAATCCTGAATAATTCCAAAGCATCAAAAAGATAGAACATGTCCTGGGACTCTAGTATACTGCATTTTTCAATCAAAAAAACGAAACCAGCAAAAACAGAAGGTCCTT